CAAACTTGGTCCCAGTTTGTTCCAGAATTCAGGTTCATTGATTTGAGGATTGACAATAGAGTTGTGAAATCCAATAATGGAAAATAGTCTGAAGTTGAATGATGGAGGTGGTTCCATGATGTAGAAGTATGGCAAACATCTCAAACGCCAACTTTTCAATCTTTGTCTAGACAGCAACTTCTTTCTCATAAACTTAAAATCCTGTTTCAAAATTTTTCCGTAAGTTTCCATTTTCAAATATGGATTCCTTATGTACATCTGCTTTGGGAAAGGTTCAGCCCAGCACGGATTTCTGTACTCATCCAAGAATTGTACATTATCCTTCAAAAAAGATGAATAGGCTCATTGCAGTTATTCAAATTAACTAAAATAAAATCTTTAACATTTTACTTACTCTGAGTCCCTCTTGGAAAAAATTTTTTAAAACGCCCCTAATAGAATAATCATTAATGGCTGGTAGTGGACCTAGATCGTCGTCTTTTATTTTAACTTTCGACGCAAAATCCAAATCAGCTTCAAAGCCTTGGTTGTAATCATTGTAATGTTTTGTGTTTGAGTAATTACCTCCTTCATTTATATATTCGTAGCTGTTTTCATTTTTTCTAGAATCCTGAAAAAAATCGTATTTTTTCAAATGTCTCTTAATGAAAACAAAAAATTTATTTATATGTTACCAGATAATCCTTTAAATTCTGATCAACTCTTTGAACTTCTCTACCGTTTTCAATGAACGTATTTTTCTTAGCCTCGAAGTCTTTCTGCTCAAGCGACCAATGTTCCTTCCACTTTTCATCCAGCACAACCTCCTCTTGAAACAGAGCCGTGTACCACATGACTGCATTTCAGATGTTTTTTCTTAAATTTTAAATATTATTCCATTAAAAATATAGAAACTTACAAAGAACAACGGACACCATGATGACCGTTGCAAAGCAGAGACATGACCTCTTGTACGTGTTGCAACATCTGTCTATTTTAACTCCAACTCTGGGAGCCATTTTAAAATGTTAATTAAAAATATTATATGAAATTAAAGTTGCCACATCATCCCAAGCAGAGCGAACGTTCAGGCAACAACGCTCAAAAATTTTGCCAGGTAAGAATTTGTTCTTGCAGCGCCAAGCAAGCCACATTCTTTTTTCATTCATTCATTCATTGTTTAGCTTAAAAATAAATTACTCAACCATAAAAGCACTTGTGTTTAGATGTTTGTATCATTTGAATGTACAATCGTGAAGAACATTTGAATAGAGTTTAATGTGTACAATGACATGTCTCTCAACACTACTTTCGTATGAGAATACACACACGTATACACACGCTATTTTAAAATTGGAATTAGCAGCGCCGTTTCGGTACAAACATACCAACCACCAAAGCTACATATCTGTCTCTGTGCGTACGATATTTCAATGAACTTGATCTTGCGACCATTTTTCAAATAAGATCGCATTTTGCCAGTATTCACTAGGCTTGGAATGCACTTTAGATTTGATATATCCATCTACCCCAATCTAAATGAAAGGAAGGACTGAAATGCTCTTTTAAGATATTTAATTCAGCCGTCCGCTATAAATTACCAAATTAAAAATTTATAAAAAAAACTTTTATTGATAAAAAATTAAGGTTATATCGTTTGATGAGCATATGCTACCTTTAATTTACTTACACAATGAAATGATACTGTGTGACAAAACAAAATGATACACATAATTAACAACAGGAGTGAAAACATGAAAGAGCGTGAACTGAATGAACATGTGAAATGAATGAACATGTGAAGTGAATGAACATGTGAACTGAATGAATGTGTAATTACCATTTTCCACGTGTAACGATAGATAGATTGATTAATTAATTGATTGATTGATATCATGTCTAACATAATCTAGCATAACCACTTCTTAACTAAATAAATAAATAAATCTTAAACTCGAAAAATTTCAAAACAGGAAAGTAAAACAAAAATCTGTAAAAGAGCGGAGAGATATGTTTCGACCTTTGAAGAAAAAAAAACACTAACAAACACCATTATGCTTTAAAAAATTTCAACATAATAGAAAAAAAACTTAAGCAAAAAAAAATATGAAGATGTAGACATGAACATTAACGAAAATGTGAAGGTGTAAATATTATTTTTATATATAAACACACCCACAAACACACACACACAAAAACACGCAAACAAACACACACACACATATAATTATGATTGGAATATACGTGATAGCAATGCAACTGTCCCTTTTTGTTAATTATTGCAGTGGGACCCCATTTCAGAGTTCCGTGTAACTCTTCATTAGATGTCCAATTATACAATAACAACAACAACAATAATAATAACAATAATAATAATAATAAAAATAATAATGGACGCCAAAATAAATCATATTATCATCAAAATCAAAGAGTCATATCACGAGTGTGTGTGTGTTGATAGAAGCCATGTTGTATGGTAAATAAATAAAATAACTAAATATATGAGCTAGTAAATGAATATATATGAATGAAGGAATGAATGTATATGAATGAATGAATGTATACGAATGAATGAATGCATACGAATGAACGAATGTATACGAATGAACGAATGTATACGAATAAACGAATGCATATGAATGAATGAATGCATATGAATGAATGAATGCATATGAATGAATGAATGTATATGAATGACAAAATAAAAAGATGGATAACGATGAAAAAAATAAATTTACAGCAGAAATGATAAAACAGAGAGATAGAATCTAAGCTAAAAGAAGGTCAGGCATACATTATCATTCATTAAACAGTAACGGTAATCAAAATGCTGAGTAACAAACGCATACATCTAGATGATAACGATTGATAATAATAGTTAATTGATCGATTAACTAATTAATAGGCTGATAATTAAGTGGCTGATATTCAAATTAGCTGATAACTGATTAACTGATAACGAACCAACTGATTGAAAAATAAATTATAAACTTCTGAAGCTAAAAGCAGTCGATAGGTTGAAGATTCAGAAATAGAGTTTGAAAGTTTGAAAGCTGCAAACCCTGAAATACGAAAAGCCTGTTTTACGCTGGCCCGAAACGCTGGCAGCATCAAAAAACGTGCATACATTTGTAAAACGTGCTTAAGGTAGGTCTGCCGCTGAGTCGAAATAATATTTAAAAATATGAATATGACTGATGAACGATTTTAAAAAAAAATTCCCTAATTAAAACACCAGAAAAATCAATCAACGAAATAGCCAGGAAATGTTAATTAAATAATTCTTGCAATGATGAATGATACGCAAGGGGTATTTCGGTTTCATCATAGGTAGCCAAACGGCAACCCCCGATCTCGGGGAAAATGTCGTCTAAACGTGTGTTGTTTGTTCTTGATGAATGACAAGCAAGTTTGCCTTCAAATATGAATAAATAAATAAATAAAACGTAAAAAAACAAAAAAGACAAAAATGTAAGGTGACTGAAAAGAAAATAAATTATATTGATTGGGCCATACACACATGCCTAAAAAAAGTTGCAAAAAACGGTGAAAGTTTCTTCCAACAATCTACCTAAATTGTACAGACAGACAACATTGTTAGCACCATCACATTCCACACATTTCAAACATGAATAAACAACACATCATACAAACAACATCACCGTATATAACCAAATCGTCATCACCATAACTAATACTCATCATCACTAACATTACCGCACCACATCATTATTTACATACGTTTGGAATTATGTGGATCAACAATTAACCATCTTCAAACACCACACACACACAGCAGCTGGAAAACACATGCGATTTAATACTATACTACTCATATACTCAACAAAAAAAATACAAAACATCACGTAATATACATATACACAAAACTCAACACACAAACACACACACATAGACAGACAACACAATATAACCACTGAAAACAAATTAGCGTACAGTCATTTTGCTTAAGTTATAATGGCCTGTATGTACATTTGGACCTGTACACACACGCATGTACACACAGACAGCCAAATAATAATATATAGAAATAATAATAATAATAATAATAATAATAATAATATAATATCAGAATCTGATAGTTCCATTGAGAATGCCGTTGTAGACATCACTGTTCAGCTGGTCGTAAGAGTTGCTCCTGACATTAAGGTAATACAAATCATCTGCAATGATGTCTGGATTGAAGCCTTCCATTCTGTATTCTACTTTCTTCAACTTGAATGTGCCTTGGAGGTTATAATCAGATATCATTATTTTTAATTTTTCTCTTTTTCAATCAACTAACTAACCAGTAAACCACTCAATCAATCAATCAGCCAATCAATCAACCAATTAATTAACCAAGCAACTATTCACTCACTCACTCACTCACTCACTCACCCACTCACTCACTCACTCACTCACTCACTCACTCACTCACTCACTCACTCACTCACTCACTCACTCACTCACTCGCTCGCTCGCTTACTCACTCACTCACTCGCTCACTCACTCAACTAACTGGTCATATTGAGTTGACTCATGACCCTGATAAAGACAGGCCTCGCGTAGGATGGTAATGTTTTCTTGACCTCCCTACTTAGCAGCTGCAGGTCCAACGTCCTGTTGGGGTCTGCCACGGCCACCATGCCAGCTCTTCCTTCCGTGCCTGTGTGGTTGTTGTTTGTTGTTGTCTTGCTATTGGGGGTTATGTCACGTGGTTCAAATTGATGACGTCATAAAATAATGTGGATGTTACATTTTTCTTTTATAACACTGTTCTGTTAATTAAATTAATTAAATATTTCCCTTTAACAAATCAATCAAAACAAACTATGTGGTTTAATAATTAATTAATTAATCATTCAGCCAACCAGGTATCTCGACACCGTAGACAGTGGTGTCAGTGAGGTGGATGATGTTGCTGATGATGGCTTCCACTTCGGACGTCGACACATTCTCACCTTTCCACCTGTACGTATCACCTGTACGATCTCGAAAGTACATGTAGCCGAACTCATCCATCTCGAGGATGTCACCTGGAAGATAGAGTAGAACAAAAAAGAAAGTTAATGAGAGAGAGAGAGAGAGAGAGTGCGAGAAGAGAGAGAGGAGAAGAGAGAGAATCAAAGTGTGCCGCTGTAGCGTCTTTTAATTATTGACTGAGCAAATAAACTATGATAATAATAACGATGATGGTGATGATGAAGACAGGCAAAAATTTTTAAAAATTAAACTCCCAACAACAACACACAACAACAACACACAAACAACAATAGCAACGAAACAATAATCAATATAAATGTTTCTAGAGTGTGAATTTTTTTTTTAAATAAAGCTGAAAAATAACATAAAAAATAAGTTAGTTAACTTTAAAATGGCAAATAAATTAAGATATCTATATCCCATAAAGAAGAAAGTTATAACGTGTGCATTGGTTGATAGATACTTTTGTAAAGTGCATGCTATCAAATCAGAGATGTGATAGTGCTGCTTATAATTGTTTCTTTTTTTGAAGTGGTGCCAAAATTATAAATTCAATGATAAATATTTATTATTATCATCATCGTCATCGTTACTCTTATCATCAGAATTCACCATTTGATGTTCAAATTGGCAAAACAAGCGGGTAAAAAATATCATGATGAAGTACTTTCCACATCAACTGACACAAATTAATACCATCACATTCTCATCATCATCACCCTCCTTAATTACCTGACATGAAGTAGCAATCTCCAGGCTTAAAGATATCTCTGGCCATTTTCTTCTTGTTCGCCTCTTTGTCAGCGTATCCATCGAATGAACGCAGTGGCTTGCCGGACACGATCTTTCCAACTAACTCGCCTGGTTCACCTGTTTTGTTTGTTTGTGAACGGTAATCATCGTCACCATCAATTTCGTCATCTTGAACATGATAACATCATCATAATTAATGAGAATGTTCATTTCGCCGTCATCATTGTCATCATCATGCCCGTAAGTATCACAACAAATTTGCTTAGTATGATTATAATTGTCATCACAATCACAATGGTCGTTAACAAGATATTATTGTCAGCATCATACCCAACAAGCAAGCGTTGTCTCGCGTGTTGTCTATATTTTTTCCTTATCTGTTAATAAAAATTATCCAGGGATACAAAGAAGTTTCTGAACAATAATAACATGTAAACGTGTTAAAATAACAATAAAATGAGATACCCGAAAAACCACAAAAACAATTTCAACAATAACAATTCAGAAAATAATTGTAGACCACACACAAAAAAAAAAAACATCAACGTCAAACAGCAAACAGATGTAGCCGCATCTAAACGAATTCCTTTCATAGCAGACATATAATTGAAAATGACAATATTCAACGAACATTCTACATAGTAACAAATAATATTATCTTCAACTTTAAAAATCTTGAACACCCCTTTAAAATAAAATGGTTCACCCACCTGGTTGGCACCTGATGCACCTGCCATACTTATCTCTAATTAGCTCTCCTGTAATTAGGTCAACTTTTATTAAGGTCACCGGGTATACTGAAGGTATGATGCGAGTTTGGAAACCAATGGCTCCAGGCGTGTTGTCGATGTTCACTGCATGTGTGCGTGCGTGTGTGTGTGTGCACGTTAAATGTGTGTTTTTATAGGGTGGTTGCATGTATTGCTTTAGTTTACATAGATGACAGCAAAAAATATTATTTTAAAGATTATTTTAATTGATCGAAATTTCACAAGAAGTTCCACAAAAGATAAGACGTGAACAGCGAGATTAGGACAACATCAAAAAAACAAAAAAAAATGAGCAGACCTATATTTGCATTGCTTTCAGTGGCCCCATAAAACTCTCCAATCTGTGGAATGCTGAATCTGTTCTTGAACTCCAGCCAGATCTGTGGACGCAAGCCATTACCAAACATCAACCTGATTTTATGGTTGGTATCATTCACAGAGGCTGGTTGGACCAACAGGTACCTACATATCTCGCCAATGTACTGGGCTACCTGTTGTGGAAAAATAAATGATGATGAAGAGAAATATGATGATGACGTCGGTGGTGACGATGATGAATATAAAAGTGTTCTCAATGACTCGTGCAACTCACAGTGCAGCCATGATCTCTACAATCGATCCAGAACTTGGAAGCAGAAAACTTCTTACGAATGACCATGGTGCAGCCAGAGATTAGCACATTCCCGACGCCAAGAACGCCACCGGCCGAGTGGTAGAGAGGCAGCGTTCCATAGATTACGTCGTCGGCAGTCATTTTGTAAAAGTGGAATATCGACCGTGCCATGTAATAAAATCTGAGTGTCATATGATGATGGTGGGTGATGTTGTGTGGGATCTGACACAGTAGTTACTGGTGGTAGTGATGGTTTTAATAATGATGCTATCAAATCTAAATTGTCTATTGCCTATTGAATAGTAACAAAACTAATGAATAATAACAAAAGGCCATTGCATACGAAAAATAGCTGCAAAGTTATCAACTTCAGCTCTTTCCAGCAATAAGTACTCAATGATAAAAATAAATGACAATTATAAATAATGCAATAAATAATTGATCTGTATTTGCAGATTATTTATTTGAGTTGAAGGCTTCATTCATCCAACATTAGCAAGCCAGCTCAGGTCCGGTGAGTTAAAATGTAGCAAATGTTTTTAAAAAATGTAAATGTACTCGTTCATTTATTAGTCAGAATTACATAGGAACTATTACCATCTGCAGTCATACGTACATACATACATACATACATACGGGGTTGAGTGACGTTATAGCAAATAAAATCAAATTTAGTCAGACGCTTGGCTTTTGGTGTCACTCGTCAATGATTTGGTTTTAACATACATACGTACATACATACATAAACTTAATCACACAACAGATCATAATACTAACTAATTGACTAATTAATTAATTAATTACTTTCTAGCTACTGTCATTCACTATTGTAGTTGTATTGGTAATTGTTGCATTATCATCATTATTATTAATCATTGTTACAATCAAATTCATCCTTTGATTGACAGGCAAGATAGGATTATTATTATTTTAACAATTACACAAAAAATTACAAAGGGCTTGTTTGTAAGCTGGGGTCTAATTAGAGCAGAGCTACAATAAATTAAATTAACATTCTATTGTGACTTTTGGACTGAAAAAGTAAGTGTGTGTGTGTGTGTGTGTGTGTGTGTGTGTGTGTGTGTGTGTGTGTGTGTGTGTCTGAGGAGCATAAACTACGAATCTGATAAGAAGAAGACTAATTGGAGTTATCAAGAGAGGGTATGCAAAATTATGAGATATGCAGTTGTCATAGTTATGTCAATGATGATGATGACGACGACGATGATGGTGGTGTTGATGATGATTATGGTGATGACGATGATTATATGGTGACAAGTATCTGAAGTGCAAATGTGTAGAAAATTGTAATGAGTAATGTTGCACGATGATGATGAGGTGATGTTGCATGTTGCTAGATTGGGAAGGAGGATTAATGTAATGAGAGCAAGAGTCTGCTATCAATTAAAACTAAGTTCAAACGCAATAGATTTTTAAAAAATATGTTTTTCAGATTTTATTTTAGTCTAAAATGTTAAACTAATGAACACAAATACAAATGAATACAATACAAATGAATACAAATGCAAATGAATACAATACAAATGAATAGAAATACAATTGAATACAAATACAAATGTATACAATACAAATGAATACAATACAAATGTATACAATACAAATGAATACAATACTATCCACCTGCTATGTGTGACAACTGCAGCTTTTGGTAGGCCAGTTGTTCCTGATGTATAAATGTAGATCAGCTTCTCTGTGTTCACAAGAACATTTTTTGAAAATTTAAGATAAATAACTACATCCTAAATTCAATTATTTATTAATTTTCACTATTTTATTTATTGATAAATAAATAGTAGACATTTAAAACTTACATTGCATATTTATAAATATTGTAAATACAAAATAACTAATGAAAAAAAAGTTTTTAAAAGTTGAGACAGGCACGAGAATTTGTATAAACACGAAACCAACCATTGAAGAACGTTTTATGGGTGACTCGTGGTGGTAGTTTGGAGTAATCCTTCAGTATGTTATCAAGGTGCTTGGCTTGAATGTTGTTGGTCTGGTACATTCCGGATATGTATAAGATTATGTTTGTTGGAAGCAGGTGGTAACTTTCTTTCACAACTGGAAAGTATTTTCACCATTCATTTTCATCATTATTAATCGCAGCACTACCATCATCATCACCTTTATTATCACAATCAGTATCCATTAACAACATCATCACCATCATCATCAGAGTATAGATGATAACAGTTAAGGATGGACACAAAAAAGTAAAAATGTCTTACATAGCTGCAATCACAATGCAACATTTTACACACGCACACAAACACGCACACAAACCAAACTCAGGCACGCATACGGCACGCCGCACATACACATACACGCAAGCACATCCATTCATTTTGTCAATACTAATACTGACATCTAAGTATTACATAACTGTAGTGAATTGAAAAATGAATGAAACAAACATTCATGAATCATCAAAACCATGCTGGCTGCCTAAATAAAAAACACACCACACAAACAAACACATCAAGACCGGAGATAACAGACTCAGTTCTTGCTGGATGACATCAACCTTTATCACAATGCCATGTATATTCACACACACACACACACACATTTGATATGTGCACTACTTAGCTAATACATAGCAAACATAAGAGAGAAACAAGGCATACAGTAAAAAGTATCCTAACAGGTCTATACAGAGTAAAAAAAATTAATGAATATTTAACAAACTAATTCTCAACACAAAATGTTATTCACATTGGAAAATATTCTGAAAAAGCTTTTCATTAAAAACCAAACAATATAAAATAAAGTTAAAATATGAAAGCTAATTAGTCACCAACCTTCACATAACTCAGAGCCAAAGATCAAAGACCTGGCTCCTGAAACTTTGATGCAGTGTGCAAGTGCCTCGTGCTTAAGATTGAAATTTATTAAGGCAGAGATGACTCCTATCTTTGCTAACCCCAACCAGATCATAACAAACTCCGGTCGGCTTTCCATAAAAACTGCCACTATATCATTCTAAATGCCAACATTTTTATTATATTCAATTGTAAGAAAGTAAATTGATAAACGGCAAATGAACAGATGAAAGCAAAAAATGAACCATAAATTATTTAAATAAATAAACAGATAAGCAATAACAAAGTTTAATAATCACAAAAATAGATAAACTAATGATACAAATTATTAATAACCTTTCGATAGCCTTGATCATAAAAATAATTAGCAACAGCATTGGAATATTCATTGACTTCTCTGAAAGTCCATGACCTGCCATCAATCGTGATGAATGCTTTCTTGTCTGGGTTCTTCTTGGTAGTTTTGTCGAACAGGGTAACAACAGTCACACCAGTTTTTCTGTACCATTTCAACAGCACCGAGACGTATATCAGAAAGGTTAGACCTCTGTAGCATATCAACAGAATTGAATTATTAATTATCAAATAACATTTGGACAGTTGGCTAAAATAATTAACAATATATTATATTATATTATATTTGGCAAGTTTTACTTCATGTTTGTAAATGTTATTAAAATGTAATTTAGCATAAAATTTCATTTATTATTATCATTACTTCATTTTTATTACTATTACTTTTATTATTATTATTATTGCTATTCTATTATTACTATTATAATTATTACTTTAAATCTCTTCTCCATGTGTACCAGACGATTCTGAGAAACCTCCAGCCGCCAGTTACCGTGTATGTCAAAAAGACGAACAACACCACAATGTGCGTCTCCCACTCAAATAACCATTTTATGAAAAGTCCAAGGAACATGAAAGCAAGAAATTTCAATCTATAAAAATAGTCTCCAGTGAAATTTCTCCGCCTGAAAAACTGTCAACACAAATTTTTTAACAGATAACTATTTAATTTTAATTAAAAATTTTCATATAAAAACTCAAATTGGATGCTTAGTTATTAAATGGAAAAGATGTTTTTTTTAATTAAACTCTCTACTTTGAAATTTAAATTGTAATTTATATTGTAATGTATAGTTTTAAATTTAAAGTTTAAAACTATACATTACATATTAAACAGACACACTATTCAATCATCTCACTATGATTACTAAAAACAAAAACAGTCTACTAAAATAAAATTATGATGAATCTTCTAACTACTAAAAAAAAAACTAACTAACTAACTAAACTATAACAAAATAAACTACTAAACTTAATCTTAAAGTTTAAGACTTAAATTAAACTAAATAAAAGTCTAAAGTCAATTTAAAAAAATTATTGTAAATTTAACTTACGTTAAAAAAACTCATTATAAAAATAATTTTAGAAAATGTTTTATTAAATTCTTATAAAGCCCAATATCAGGGCGGAGAGTTGAGTTGATAATTGTTTGTTAAAAAATCAGAAATGTGACTCGCGGCCATTAATTACCGACGTTGTTGCCACTTGATGAAATATTTTGAAGCCAAACATTTGGTTTTAAACAAATATATATTTGCCAAATACTCCAATCTTAACCATCTTTGCCATTTGGCAAGTGCCAGTTTTTAAATAAACTTTTCAGATTTTTGCACAATCATCGTCAAATTACTTCAGCCATTAATTGAAGTGCCTCTATCTTTTCTCCATATCTTGTTCTTTTATACTGGCTACCTATAAAATGTACAATAATTTTTAAAATCTGCAGTTTAATTTAAAAGTCTCAATCTAAATTATTTCTTAGATATATTAAATAAACCTAAACGTCCCAGTTCGCGATTGTCTTCTCGTTTTTTGTTTTTTTTTATTCTTTAAAAAAATCAGAATCTTACAGACGCAGGAGCATGCAAGGCTGTAGTATAAAATTATAACGAAAAATAAATAACGAAGGAAAATGTTTAAGCATGAAAAGTATGGAAAATAAAATAAAGTAATGGTTTAAAAAGACAGATAAATAAAATAATTTATTAATAGACTTGTTAATGACTTAGCAAGTTAGTTAAGTGATCGATGGGAAAAAGGAAAACTAAATTGAGTAAATGATAAAGTTTTATTAAGTGCTGATCATGGAATTATAATTCAATGGTGCTGATATATTTAAGGTGTTATCCTGATATGTTGATCGAGTGGCGACTTAATAGTTATGCTTGCGTTGACAATGTGTGTTTTGATTGGTCTTCACGTTAATTCCTGTTAAACACACTTATGCTAAATCTGCGTTTGCTTTTTCCGGCCCTTTTCTCTTGAACTCTCTACCTCCTTCTCCATCACTTGCGAAGTTCAGAGCGGATCTCAAACCTCATCTGTTTGTGAAATTCATTGAGGACTACTGTCGAACATCGTGGAAATGGCGTTTTGTAAATTACTTTGTTGATTGATTGATTGTATGATTGATTGATTGATTGTATGATTGATTGATTGTTTGATTGTTTGATTGATTTAATGTCGCAAATGAATACATCTGTCTAAAAATTTTTTAGACTTTTAAAATAAGAATCGATGAAAGACAATTTGTATTTATTATTATAAATGATATACAAACAAGAAAACAAAATAAATTATAAAACAGAACAAATAACATTACTGAATTGTTTAAAATTGAATTAATGGATATTTATTTATATATCAAAAATCCATTCTTGATCAAATTCCACAGTATCTATGACGAACTCGCAAAAACTGTTTTTCAATTGTTTCTTATCAAGATCATCAAAGAAGTTGACATCCTCTGAATAATCATGATCAAAAATTTTTCTTTTCCTTATTATCATCCTGCTGTAAATGTCACGTATTAAATCATTCGTGCTGACTTCTTCTCTTTTCGACTTTTTGACTTCGTGAAACTTTAAAATTTCAGTGATGAGGAGTTTGAAGAGGTCTTCCCTGATTGTTGTCCACGTCGGCAGGACGTTTTGGAGCATTGAAACTGTTAACTTGATTGGCGTGTTGTTCTCGCAGGTGTGCTGCATGATGAACAATGTGCACAGCAACAACAGCCTGTCAACACAACTCTGACATCGGCAGAACCTTTTAAGGATTAAGAAAAAAAACTTATAATATGGTTTGTATTTATTTGAAAAATAAATAATCGTAAATTGAAATTGCAAAATAATTATAAAAAATAAATGGTCTACATACTCGTTGCAATCTTGGTACAAGGCTACCATCTTGCCGACCAGAAATTGAAAAGTTTCTTGTGAAGCGAGAGATTTGTAATAGTTTTGGCTGCACAATTTCAGCCACACTTCGTCCGGATTCCTAATTAATAGCAACGTTGAAAGAGTAAACTTTTCCAACAATGCCGAGCTGTACTTGAAATTTTTCATGATTACGTTAATTAAATTTTTCATTTCAGGCGTTTCGCAATTATGCTTGATTGAGTTAACTATAACTCTGTGAATTCTACCGTAGGTTACAGAAAAGCATTGAAGTTTGCAGTCCGTTTTCGAATTGAATTTGTTCAACTCGCAGCTTAGATTTTCAGAGAAAATGTTCAAGTCTTCGTCGTCATCTTTGAGGGAAAGTAGATCGAATATTCCACTCTCGCTGGGAGAGGTCGTTGATCTAGACGTTTCAGTGTTTAGTGAAACTTTAACCGGTGAGTTTTCCGAGCTCAAGGATTTCGGTAATTCGGACATTTTGTCTTCTGTCGAGTTGTTGATGCTGCTTTTGTTGGGGTTACGAAATGATCTGAAACTTGAGATGCTGCCGGTCAAACTTCTCGCGTGGTGCAACTTATTCATTATGAATGCCGCTAAAGTATTTTCTGTTCGATTTAAAGCATTATTGTCGTTGCTGATATTAATTGTGATATTGTTATTATTTTGATTGCTGTTGACGTTGTTGTTGTTGTTTATGTTGTCACCAACAACTGGATTGTCGTGAGCTTTCTCCTTAATCAAGTTGCTTTCGCTGGCTGCAAATTTGAACTTGTTCGGAATCTTCAGAAATTCAGAATTGCATGGCAAGGAGTTGATATTTTTTTCAGCTTCAATATTTTTAGAAACAGATGCGGCGCGTCCGTGCAACGATCGAGACTTTCTCTTCAGTTTGTTTCCATTCTCAACAAAAATCATTGGTATCGAAAGATTTTTCTCTTTCTCATTTGCACTGAAAACTCTCCAATAATTTTCTTTTCTCGGATCAATTCTCACTTTTATTTGCTTCAGAGGTACAAAATCATATTTAGTCTTTCGTTCATTCAAACTCAACTCATCCGCACTTATAAGTCGTTTGATAGATTTTTTAGTAGCATAATTGTAAGCGGTCTTCCCAAAATTGTCTGTCACAGAAACGTCTGCCGAATGTTTCAATAGAAGAGCAACACACTCACTCGAGTTAGCTATGGATGCCCAGTGTAATGCAGTTTTCCCGCCGGCTGATTTGACGTCTACGTGAGCGCCATTTTGAAGCAGATGTTCGCACAATTTTTCGTTTCCTTTTTCGGCGGCAATATGTAATGGCGTCCATCCGTTGTTATTTGGAAGGTTCACGTCGATTTCGAAATTTTTATTTTCAAAATTTTTGTTTCCGGTCTTGTCGCCAAGTAAATATTCCACAACTTTTTCAGCTCCATAAGAAGCTGCCGTGTGTAGGAGGTTATTGCCGTATATATCTTTCGCAACGATGTCTGCTCCCTTCTTCAGTAACAGATCTACCATGCCGACGGAATCAGTTGCCACTGCGAAGTGAAGAGGAACACGCTGGTCAGATTTTGTCGGCATGTTCACCTGCTTCGGGTGGACGCTCAAAATTGTTGAGACGGCTTTTATTTTATTCAGTTTGACGGCGATGTGGATGGGTGCAAGATCTTGAGTGCCGTAGAAATTAGAAATGGATATGTGATCGAGAACTTCTTTGAGGAAAGATTTGTCGTTGTTGGTTTGGTTGTTGACAGTTAGATGTCGAGCTGCCAGTGGTGAGTGAGGGTGCACGAGTTGGGGTGGTGCCCTCACGCTGCTGTCCTGTTTCAGTTCTGGTTCATCGGCGCTCAGACATCTGTCGTGTGGTACGGTGTGGTATGTAATGTAGATGATTTCAATTCAACGGTTGCTCTATGTAACAGCCGCAAGTAATAATATCGTCAGTTATGATGACGATAATAAAATTGAGGTTACTGAGACACGATGTCGGTGGTTTTAATTGAACAAATAAATAATGAACTAGACAATCATTTTTTTTTAAATAGTATGAAATAAATCGAGGAAGAAAAGAAAGTAATTATGAGTGAGACCTGAGAATGAGACAGGAGATGTCATCAGCCACCATGCAGTTGGACCATTTGGAGAGCATCTCATCAAACTTCGGCAGGTTTCCTTCTTGTATGGCCGTCTCGAAGGATTTCTTGATTTTCAATCTTTTCTGCGACACGGCTGGCTGCTTGTTCAAGTTTTGTTTGCTTTCCGACTTTTTTGATATCCAAAACTTCCACTTTAATTTTTTAGAGCTCATTTTATTGTCCATTTTGAAAAATAGTTTATTGCAAACAGTATCAGTAGGATTGGGATATAACCGGTTGTTGTTTCAATATTTTTTATTCAGATGTGTTTGCGGATTAAATTGTGAATGCCAATTATGTTGTAGTAAACCATCAAAGCTCTCCTATTTATAATGATCCCACACAGTCATGTAATTACGACAGCTGTGTGTGTTTGTGTGTCTACTGCACTATGTACACGTGTTATTTTGTTATATGCACTCTACAGGGCACAACATAACTCCGTGTTTACTACTTGCATGCAATTCAATCCACTTAACATAGCAACATAGCTGAACATTTTAGTTCGCTTTCATCTTTGATCAGCTTCTAATTTTGCTGCTAACTCGATCACGCTTAATATTTTATTGAACTATTTTTGCGCCTAAATAAAGAACATTGACCGTAACGTAATTACTATTGTGTATTGTTATTTAGTTTCTCCATGTATTTATACATTTTCATGATTCGAATAATCTTTCCGGGTTCGCAATTGCACATGGTTCTAAAAAGTTCATACATTGACTGAACAATAAGATAAAAATTGTTCTTTAAAATATTTTTTACCCACAACCGTCCACTTACAACAAATATTTACATTACTTTTCAATACTTGTGAGTTTTCTAATTGCCGATGCATACTTGTGCAAACGGGTAAATGGATGAATGAATGAATGAATGAGTGAATGAATGAATGAATGAGGAATGAATGAATGAATGAATGAATGAATGAATGAATGAATGAATGAATGAATGAATGAATGAATGAATGAATGAATGAATGAATGAATGAATGAATGAATGAATGAATGAATGAATGAATGAATGAATGAATGAATGAATGAATGAATGAATGAATGAATGAATGAATGAATGAATGAATGAATGAATGAATGAATGAATGAATGAATGAATGAATGAATGAATGAATGAATGAATGAATGAATGAATGAATGAATGAATGAATGAATGAATGAGGGAATGAATGAATAAGCGTGTGGATTTTCCGAGGCGCAGACTGAATTCCTCTGATGAAAATGTCAAATTGTATGTCGCTGGCTGGCTGGCTGGCTGGCCTGGTTAGGAGGCAAACGTCATTCAACGAAACGTGGCTTGCAGCGCCTATTTTTAGTCCGACAATTTTATTTTGCTGTGTAGAGAAGCATTTTCACGATGTTAAATACTAGGACAGCAGCAGATATAATAATAAATATGCCATGAATTGTTTCGAACTTTCTGAAAATTCATTCTTCTTTAGTCAAACAAATAACTGTGCTGCTGAAAGTTTACGCATGTATTCAAACATGCATTTTATCGCATGGCACACTATATGGCACAGCCACACGTTATCTCATTCAACGTTTTATTTAACACCAACAAAATTAGATTCAAATGCAAAAAAATTAACAAGGTCATAAATACTCAGAACAGTACTTAAGCTTTCTTCCATTACTTTTTGATTCTGTTTTTTGACATTTATAATGCAATCAGTTATATTAATGTAATTAATGCGCATGTGTGTTTCTGTGTGTACGTGTTTGTGTGTGCTTCTGTGTGTGTGTGTTTGTATTTATGTGTGTGTGCATGTTTGTGCGTGTGTGTTTGTGTTTTGCTTCAATTCATTTACAATATCTTTACTATTCAGGATATCGATAATTTATCTTTAATAAAAATAATAATAATAGCAATTAGTTATCTCTATGTTTGATTGAGTTGGGATATAAAGTCATCCAATGGTACGACCAACCACGTGCTAGATAAAAAATGAAGAATAGTAATAATAAAATAATAATAATAACAGTAATTACGACCTTCTGCTGTTATAAATACTGATGCTACTTATAATAATAATAATAATAATAATACATTTTGTATTACTAATATCATTTACTACTACAATTGCAAAAAGTTCTCTGACACATACTGTTGAAAGATGTTACTGTCAAGAAGACATTAGATGCCTGTTTATTATTATTATTATTGTTAATATTATTTATTATTATTGTATTTATTGATATTATTATCATTGAAATTTTAAGATAAATTAATCATAATTTATTTGTAATAATTAAACGGTAATATTTAAAAAGAAACTTTGCACTAATTGCGGACATCATTACGCAATCCATACATTACAACCGCCATCACAACGGCCGTAACCCCGCCACTCCGTTACTTAATTTTTACATCACCACCATCATCATTATCATTTTCACCACCGCATCACTAGGTCATCATCATTATTATCACATCATCATCATCGTCGTCTTCGTCATCATCATCATCATGACGTTATCATCATCATCATTATGACGTTATCATCATCATCATCATCATCATGACGTTATCATCATCATCATGACATTATCATCATCATCGTTATCATTATCATCACGTCAACGTTATCATCTTCTTCTTCTCATCGTTCAACATTAATTATTTTATTCTGTATAGACTCGTAGGTTTATTTAATTTATTGTTTTAAAATTGTCTTAGTTTTGAGAAGACACAGGAACGTTTCGTCTTCGCCTTTGTTTAACGTAATAATAATAATAATAATAATAATAATAATAATAATAATATCATTATTAACAACAGCAGCCAAGTTAATCTAGCGAATTAATTACAATGATGACCCTAACACTTCAAAGCTAATAACTCTATCCGTTATGATTAAGAGGTGAGGATCATTTTTCATGTAAATATTTTTTAGTTTGTTGAGTTTTGTTGTTGTTGTTGTTGATAATGATGTTGTTGTTGTTGATGATGATGATGTTGTTGTTGTTGTTGATGTTGTTGTTGATGATGATGGTGATGTTGTTGTTGTTGTGGATGACAGTGATGTTTTGCTGATGTTGTTGTTGTTGATGATGATGGTTATAATTAAGTTGAAAATATTTTTTTATTTCGTTGTGCCTAATAAACCTTGATGTCAATCAATAATTGTGTTGTTGTTAATGTTTATTAATGTTGATGTTGTTGATGCTGTTGATTTTTCTGTTGATAAGATTGTTCTCGTCATCAATAATGTTTTTGCTAATGTGTTTAATAACGTTAATATTGTTGTTGTTGTTAGTGTGGTCAGGTCGTTGCTTGTGTTGCCATTGGCAACGATGTTGTTTGCTAATCGATTGTCGGTTGTTAAGTTGTTCATAAATAAGTTGTAAGAGGAGTTGCTGTGGTTGTAGCTGCAGTTGTCGTTGTAGCTGCAGTTGTCGTTGTTCATATTTCGTCATACTAGTCATCATCGTCGTCGTCGTTGTTCTTAATTGCATCTGAAGCAAATCAATTGTTACGCAAGTTAATGATTAGCGAATGATTTCTTTTTTCCGATTACACATAATTGAATTGACGGATATTACGAAACTTAACTTCATCACGTAGCAGATTTATATAGCGCGCAATGTTATTGAACGTCCTAGGCGCGTAACGTAATGATTTCGTCTATCGTCGTACGTAAAATCTTTTGATCATAATTGCCGCGAATTAAAATCTGGAAGTCGATACAATGCCAGAGCAGATTATTGGTAATTTCTCAAATGGAAATTTTTCAGCAATTTAGAAGTCATAATAATACGTTTGCGTGGGTAGTTAGGTAAATCAAAATAATAATTTTAATTAATAACTTTTATACTGATAATATAATAATAGATATAATTTTAAAACTAAAATGATAATTTTGCCATATGTATGTATGTTAGATATGTATGTATGTGATATATTAGTGAACTGGAAAAACAAGGCGACACATATTGTATACCACATAACTATCGTCATTAACAATGGGATAACCAATGCTATTATCATAATTCATATATCATCATAATTCATATATCATTCTCATTCATATATCATCATCATTCATATATCATCCTCATTCATATATCATCATCATTCATATATCATCCTCATTCATATATCATCCTCATTCATATATCATCCTCATTCATATATCATCATCATTCATATATCATCATTATCCATATATCATCATCATCAATTAACACAAATTTTCTTTTTTTCTCATCATTAATGTAATTAGTTTAACATCGCCATATATATATATATATATATATATATATATATATATATATTAATATATCAAATGGTAGTAATAACATGTTCAGTAATAGTATACTTAAATGAATTTTCTACTAAGAAAACGAAAAAATACTTAATGAATTA